CAACATCACTGATCCTTTAAGGGATACAAGTTAAAATAACAATGAGATTCTATCTCCTCCCAGAAATATCTGTTATCAGGAAAGCAGCCAATAATAAATTATGGAAGAACAGAGAAAAAGAAACCCTTCTCCACTGTTGGTGGAGTGTACAGTGATACAACCATAGTAGAAATCAGTGTGGAAATTCCTCAGAAAACTAGGATTCGAGGTCCCATTTGACTCAGTATTCATCCTGAGTATCTTCCCAGAAGAATTTAAAACATCATACCATAGTGATATACATGCACCCATATTTATAGCAACACAATTTGTAATAGCTAGATCTTGGAAACAACCCAAATGCCCATTGATTAAGGAATGAATTAAAAATATGTGATGTTTTTATACAGTGGAATACTAAGCCATAAAGGAGGATATACTTGAGGCTTTAATAGGTAAATGAATGCAACTTGAAAGCATACTCATAAGTGAAATAAACCAGATGCACATGTGTAAACATCGTATTTTTCCCCAGTGTGAGAAGCTAAAAGATTAAATAAGATATGAAATGTACAATAGATTTTCTAAAATGGGAATAAAGTTCAAAAAGGAAAGAGAAACTGGGATGGGGGAATGGAAAAAAGAAGGGAAAAACATACATACACACACACACACACACACATACATATATAATAGTTATGATAATTATACCACTAATTTCTCTTAATGCATTGATAAGAAAGGTTTGTGCTAGTGTTTGAACAATTAAATGCCTATATTTTCTACTCCGAATGACTAATTTAAAGATAACAATACACCACAGCATGTATTAACCCTATCATTGTTACCCTTCACATACATTGTTTTGCATTTTTTCTCTTTAAAATAAGAAAAACATAAATTAAAAAATAAATAAAATGCTATGTAGGATATAAAGAGCAAAATATGTGACACAGGACTTTGGGTGACCACATGCCCGGATAGATTCCCCACAAGGAGCCTCCCATCTCTTGTGTCTGTAAGAGAAGGGATAGCTGAGCTCTGCTCTCCTGAGCAGTAATGTCTACCAGAGGGCCCCTCGGAATAGAAGAGCCCTGCCTGAGCAATAGTGAGGGGGTTGAAGATGTCTGCAACATTAGAACACCTATAAATGCATTTAGAATCTTTTGAACTTAAAACTATATAATGCCAAATGCAGTCATGCACCTTTTCTTTTTCTTTTTTTATTGTTTTGTTTTGGTATCAGGAGTCGAACTCAGGACCTCTCGCTTGCCAGGCAAGCACTTTGCTGCTGAGCTGTTTTTCTTTTAATGTTCATATCCCATCTGATGTTCATCACTGAAAACAAGATTGCCATTTGGGAGGAGAATCCACAAGAGTAGGATAGCTAGACTATAATAGTAGCTGTAGTTGATCTATATCATGGAAGGAGCTGGGAATGTAACATACTTTGATTGGCTTCTTTATGCAGTGGCTAGCTTCTGGAAGCATCCATGTGCAAGTGCGTTTCAGCCTTTACTTGTGTCATGTTTATTAATGTTTCACTGACTACCTTAAATCGAATAGTCAAACCCAGTCACTGTGAGAAGTAGCCACATAAGGGATGAATATGGGAAAATGGGATATCATATCTGAGAGAATCTTTATAGTAACAGTTTGCTGTTGATGGGTCTTTGAAAGTTAGTAGGCTCAACTTCAGGTTTGGGGATTTTGCAGTTGTCTTTCAGAGATTTTGTCAGCTCATGCACTATTCCAGGATACTTCCAGTTCCTGGGTTTTCCCAAACTATCTGATCCCTTTTTTTTTACTTCAAAGACATAAAATCCCAAAAGTAAATTATTTCCAGATGTTTATAGATCATCTACTGTCTTAGGGACCGAGATTCTTTGTGTATAGGGTGGGGTTAGATTTATATTATCCCAAAGTATTATAGAATTAGCCTTTTCTAAATGGGTGCAGATGCAGAAAGACTAACAGAGGTTAACTAGGGTAGATATCCCTATTCTACATTTAATAAAAATAGAGTGGAATTATGCAGGTATGTAGATAAGCTAATCATCTGACCTAATCAGTAATGCAAATTTTAAAGAAGCCTTCTAATTACTTCCTCAGCTTGGCTGAAGGTATGGTTAAATAGAGTTTCCCAGAATGATGGCAGCAGATGTATTTCATAATATTTATTGAAAATATTGGAAAGAAACCCTCAATAATGATGCTCCTGAAAAGCACATCAAAAAGGATATCTTATTTAACATATTTTATACTTTCATTAAGATATAAACATAACATAATTTAGATGATCATGCTACAACTCCTACACAAGTTGTTTAGAATATTTTGAACAGTTAGACTTGAACTTTCAGAGCCAGATTGCTTCTTGGTTAACTGCCTGTTTTTTCCTTGAATTGAATCACTTACCCGAATTCCAGTTGTCTTGGGCAAAATGGCACCACCAGAATACTCTTTTTTTGGCTATTTGTTGGTTTCATATCTTGGCAAATGTGTCTTGGTGTGCAGTGTTTCACCAACTTTAAATGTTACATTGTTGACATTAAATGTTACATTGTTGACATTTCCAGGCATATGTAACATTATGGGATTTGGAAGCATAGATAGATCTGGTGTTCATTTTCTTGGCTGGCTTTGAATAATTATGAACAGCTGTTAAATGAATCATTCTAGAACAAGATTGCTCAAAAAGAACTATCTATGAATTCCTGGCTAAAAAGAGCCTTAGTCCTGAAATGCTTATTCTTCTTTACCTTTCATTCTACAAGCTATTCAGTATCTTTCCAGTTCAGATGATGTTTCAGGTAACAACAGATCACACGTACAACACTGGTCACATAAGAGGGTACCACTTACTGCCCTTGTAACCATCTTAGTTGTGTAAGCATACTCTAATGATCACATGACAACACATTTCTCTGTCATTAAGCAGTGCATGACTGACTGTACCTTTTAGTGTTAGTTTGAGCTACTTTGTTACCTGTAACCAAAAGAAATCTAAAGCGATATAGTTCCTTCAGTACCATTTGAGTGGCTGCATAGCTAAGCTGTATGTTCTTATTGGTGACAGAACTGCAGTTTGCCCAGCAATCTCCTTCTGGGACATCTTCTCTAGAGATCAAATGGGAAATAAATATGCACCACAAAGCAACTATTCAAAAGTTTTCAGTGACTGTTACTTCATGATTCTTTGCAATTGAGGAAGTGAATGCTATGTTTGAAGAAGTCATGAATGCAGTCACCTGACAAGTGAGTTGGTTTATTTAGGACAAGGCCAGAAAATATGGATGATCCAGTGTATGGCTTAATTTCTTTATTAGGGACTTTGAAACTGGGACATAGTTATACAATTGCCAGTAAGTGTATTGTGAAGTATTTGACATTATCTTAACTGCTGCCATTAAATGCCATCAGCATCTTTCACTCTCCCAGCAAATTGTGACAATGCGAATGTCTTCAGATACTCCTGGAATCTCTTATAGGGCAGATTTTCCCTCAACTGAAAACTACTGCTTTATATTATTTGAATTATTTTAATTCAACCAACATTTACTAAGTGCTTTCATAGTGAAAAACATATTTTAATTTACAGTTACTTACAAGTAAAATGTATGCCAGATACATTAGTAATACAATATTAAGTTCACCAGATAACAGATCATAATCAACTTCAGTCACAAAAGTGTATAAACTTTATAGATACAGTTTTTTGTTGTTGTTTCGTTTTTAGTGTATTGTAAATATTGTATGTAATCATACAGTATTGCCTGTTTGTAGGTTGAAAACCGGTGAGCTATCAGCATTTCTATGTGATTGTATCTGAGGTATAATTTATACTAGCAAACAACTTGAGAAAAAAGAAAGGTATCTTTTTTCCAAAATACAAGTGTTGTTCTGACCATGATTTTAAATATGTCTGTACCCAAATGTCATTGTAACCATTGTTTATAGTATATTTTGCTTTCTTTTACAAGGAGTAATGATTTTAGAAATCTTACATAGACACCTTTAAGGAACATCTATCTGGGCTGAGTCTGTTTGACTGAAAATCATGTATTTTATTTTATTTATTTTCCTAAACCGTGTATTTTAATAACAGTTTTATAGCCAAAGCAGAACTTCTAATTGAGAAGGTATGCTAATTTTTGCTAGGGACGAGGACCAATAGAAACTGTAGGCAGTGGTTTATAAAGGTGTTCATAGGGAAGAGGTGCTAGAAATTAAATCTAATTTTAAAATATATTTTACCATATTGCATGTCGACAGTAAAGCTCTTACTGAAGGATTTCATGGTTATAGTCCATGGGGTCAGGACTTCAGTTTCTTGTTTTGGCAAATTCATGATTGGAGGAAAACCGTATCTGACAATGCATTTTGGAAAAATGAAATCAGAATGGAAATGAAGAGCACTTTTTAGCACATACAAACATACTCACCACCTCTGTTGTTTTTATGCATCAGACCTGCATTTACAACACTGATGAGCTGTTAGATAGCAACTCACTGAAGTATAAAAGATAACCTGCAACTTTATTTTGGTCATGTCAACCTTGTTCTTTTTAAAACTTATTATGAGAACATTAAGCTCCGCTGCCTCATGCGCTCTTCCTTGCAGAGGAAGTACTAATGAGCAGTGTGCATTAGCCAGAATCCTGGCAGCAAAAAATGACAAGGGGGAGAAAGCAGAGAGGAGGATGGTAACTCATGAGCCACAAAATCAACTTTCAGCATTCCAGGAATTGTAGTATCAAAGATATTATAGTTTCAATGTTGTAGTCGTCCCTGAAACTCTTGGAAGTGGATGTAGGCTTTGAGAGTTCAGTGAACAAAGGAGACAGAGTCAGTGCATACTCAGTACATAAATACCTAGCCGTCACTAATTCCTGTAATGTCTAGAGAATTCCATTTGTGTGATATGCACAGAAGAGATACCCCATGCTTGATGTTGGTCCAGGACAAGGTTAACTTCTGCACACTAATTTTAATTCATTATATATGCCTTTTTCTCCTAGCACAAATGGACCCCCGAGGCCTATCTCCCAGACAAAGTAAAAGTGACAGTGATGATGATGACCTGCCAAATGTGACCTTAGATAGCGTTAATGAAACTGGATCTACGGCCCTTTCCATAGCCAGAGCAGTACAAGAGTAAGTATCACATTCTCAGGATGAAATAAGAATTGCCACGGTGATCAGTGGATAATGGGAACTGCCACATCTCCAGTTCCCTAAACGTGTCATTCTAGCTCTTAAATGGCACACATGGCTGCATCTTTCCATTCAGCCTGTGCTCTTCGGGAGCAGATTAGGGTGAAGAATTGAGTGTCTGAAAAGAAATGGAAGTATGTGTCCTGACTAGATGTAAGACCTCTTTGCATCTTTCCTGCTATCTCCTGCACCTTACTGAACTGAGGGGCAAAAAATTGCTCTTTCTAAAATATCACTCTTATTATCATCATCGTCATTCTTTTTCTATACAAAAGCAAGAGAAAACATAGCAAGTGTCCTTATCTTATTTTGACAGGAAGTTTCAAAATTGCATTTTGAAAGAATTAAATTTGGAATGTGTAAGCCCTTTGGAATACAGAAATCATATATAATTTCTAAAGAAACCTTTTTCTCTTCTCCTTTCACCCACGACCTAGGTCTAGATTTCAATCCTTGTTTATTGAAAATATCTGCTGTCCTATCATTATCATCTCTTTGTCTAGAATTGCACTGTGTTAATTCATGTCTGTTTTTTCAGTAGAATATTTTTTCAGCTTTATTGAGGTATAATTGATAAAATTGTACACATTAAACTGACAACATGCTAATTTGGTGCACATATACATTGCGAAATGATTACCATGATCAAATTAATTAATATATCGATAACCTCACATAATGATCTTTTTGTTGTGGTTTTTGATGAAAATACTGAAGATCTACTTCTTAACAAATTTCAAGAATATGGGACATTATTACTAGTCTTAGTCACCATGATGTATATCAGATCCTCAGAGCTTACTCTAACTGGAACTTTATATTTGATCAGCATCTCCTCATTTGCCCTCTCTCCCCAGCCTCTGGACACTAGTATTTTATTTACTCCATGCCTATGGTTTCAACTCTTTTGTTTGTTTTTTTTTAGATTGCACACAGAAGTGATAGCTCTCCAATTTCTTTTTGTACACTTTTAAAGACGTAGTATTTTGTATGAAAGGAGAAATTCCTGTCTTTAAATTATACGTATATGTTAGGAGATACCAGTTGTATTGTTCATGTCATTTTTTCATTAAAAGATAGATTAAAAATACACCAAGCTCTTACCTAGGAAGTCCTACAGTGTCAGGATCTATCAGTATTTAATAAGTTGTTGTTCAAGTCTGGGCGTCTGTGTGCAAACAGTGGGAAGTAACAGGTACTGGTCAATGAAGGAAAGTCTATGTTCTATAGAGACTTCTTCAAAGTACTTTTGCCAAAATTTACAATAATATAGTGAAGAAAATTTTTATTTTTAAATATATAATGCTTACAGTTTTTCTTTTTCTTTTCTTTTTTTTTTTTTTTTTTTTATCAGCGTCAGGGATTGAACTCACAACCTCCTGCTTTTAAGGCAGGTGCTTATGCCACTGAGCTAAATCCCCAGCCCCTAATGCTTACAATTTTTAAAAATTGTAGAAATAGGTGATCTCAGATTTAACTGAATACGTATACTTTTGAGCTTGTCTTTCTGGTGTTACTGCTTAATTCCTTAGTGCAAATGACTGTTTCACCAGTAATTTCTCTTTCCTTCTATTTCCCTTTATATCTTGATGTTTTCTGTAAAAAAGCAAAAAAAAAAAAAAAAAAAAAAAAAAACTGTCAAAACCAAAAGTCAACCGATATATTCCGGTATATGATTGACAAACTAGTGTGTTAAATAATAAAAGGATAAGATACCAACTTAGCCTATAAATAAGAAGGGGATTTCTAAAGCCTCCTGTTGATCTTTTATTTCTCACACTTCCTAGGAATTTTCTAAGCGCAAGGAGGAGGTCTTCAGGTTAAAACTTGATAAAAATCAAAATTTTCTTTATAATGTAAGAAAGGTTTGAAAAATCCTGAGCAATGAGTTCACATTTACCTTTCCAAACAAAGAGTAAAGAAGAGTAAAGGAAGATTCAGAAGTTTGCCAGTCTCTTCCTTTTGTGGCCATCAGGAGAGCATCAAGGAGGATAAGGAAAAGATAAAAAAAAAAGAAGGAGATTTAGGAAGACTGACGTGAAGGAGGGGTCAGACTGCCTTACTCTAAACCACCTCTGTGTGTGAGTCTCTGACAAAATGCTAAACCACAGGTGAAGTATTTTTAATTGAAACTCTTTTGCCTTTCCTCATTCCAGTTCTGTTGTTGCTTCATGCATAAGTGTTATAATTTAAATTTTTGTTGTGTTTTGTATAAGTGATACTCATATACATAGCATAAACCCTAATGTGCTAGAGATTTTTCCCCTAAATATGTAGTATTGTGCATTTTACTGGCTTTTTTGGGCGGCGGGGCGGGGGGGGGGGGGTGTACCAGGCATTCAATTCCCGACCTTGCGTTTGCCAAGCAGGCACTTATGCCCCTGAGCTAAACCCCTGGCCAATTTTACTGCTTTTTAAAGTAAACTTTTATTGAAACTTGGGTTTAGAAAAGCGTTTGCTTTGCTTTGAAATGTAAATGTTATTAGCCAATATGCATTTTCTCCCCAGATATTCAGATGTGTGTATCTGAATTGCTTGGTGATTAGAACAATAACCTGAGGCCACTTGTATTTCTATAGACTTATGTGGTGAGGGTACTGAATTGTATCCACTGTACAAGTATACTCATGTGCTTGAAATGATCTTTTTCACTATTTTCATTGAATAACTTGATTCCTATTAGTCAGTTTGGCATCAGTGAATTCAGATATGCTGGAAGAAGCAGCCACAAAGATACTCACAGATGGGCTGTCCTCTTACATCAATTTTATAGATATTGTTCATGTCAGAAGTCATGTATTCAGTAATTCTGACAAGGCCAACTTCTAGCAATTCATAGAACATCTGCTTTGTTTTGGTCTCATTTTTTTTCCCTTGATGCTAAAATAGGGTCATTACCCTTAACAACTTGACAGAAATAATTATGAAATAAGTGTCTAGAGAAAGAGAACTAAAGGCACATGACTAGAGTGAATTATTATAATTGACTAAAATCCTAGACAAAAATAATAATTTTTTAAATAGGTAAAGTTTAGTTTTATTTCCCAAAACCTATATTTTTACTTTTTAATTCCAGGCATGCATTATCATTATTTTTTAATGCACATGGAAAAATCAAGTTCCATTAAACTGAAGTATAACGGAATAATACTTGAAAGAAACCACCCCCTGAGGAATTTCTGCCTTAAAAAATAGAGAGAGAGAGTATCAGCCAGAGTAAAGAGGAGAAAGACGATGTAGAGGGTGGAAGAAGATGAAAATGATAAGATGTTCCCATTTCCTAGCACAAGCCCTTTCACAATCAGTGCATATAAATTTCTGAATCTCTTATTCCGTAGCTGCCTGGGTTGCTGTCTCTGATCCTGATTATAATTCTCAGAGGGGAACAAATACAGCCTAAATTAGCAGCATTACCAACTTTCACTGTGGCTGTTACTGATAACTGCACCTGTTAAGATGATATTCTTCATAAGTGGCTTTTTGTCACTTATACATAAGCTAATTAAAACACATAAATGTCTTTGTCTCCTATTTTTGTCATACAGCTTATGTGACATGTTCCTCATCTTGAAGACAAACAACTTGTGAGTTTTTGAAAATGAGTAGTCTTACCATTAGTGCTTTTATTGTTTAAATGCTATTTTAAAGTAGCAGGTTAGATACCAATAACTCCTTTCATACTTCCCTTCTAGGTAGTTCAAACATCATGATTCTTAATTTAGAAAATTATGCTTCAAGATCAAAGAAGATGAGAATTTTTTTTTATATTTTTACTCTAAGCCTACTAAATAGCTAACACTTCTTTTGTTTCTTTTAGTTTCCTCTTTATGATTGTGTTAATGCCTCTTAAATATAGTAGAGAAAGTGCTAGAGATGAGAAAACAGAAACTGTTACTAAAAGTATACTTTTGGCAGATTTTATGAGAACTCATAATCTTCATTTTATTTGCCCCATGGTACTGTTTCTATCCTGCAGATAAAGAAAGGGAGACACAAAGGTTTATTCTGCCCCTGGAGGTCCCACAGCAAGGAATTAGCAGAGTTCATATTCAAACTCAAGTTTGCAAACCTATAATTCTTCATGAAAGGGGACTAACAATCCCCTGATCATACGTTACAGCTTTAAAAATCTCTGTACCATGGCTATCTAAAATTAGCATGTTTTTGAGCCTTCAACCTCAGTAAGTATATAACTTACATGACATAATTATAGACTTTCTAATCTTTAAACTGATTGTTACTTCAAAAGTAGTCTGATATGGGGAGAAAAATAATTCTGTCAAATATATTCTCAGAAATTTTTTTGAAAGAACTGAGCAGTAAGATATGGTGGTATGTGCCTATAATCCCAGGACTCTTTGGAAGCTGAGACAAAAAGATTGCAAGTTCTAATCCAACCTGAGCAGCTCAGTGACTTAGCAAGACCCTGTCTCAAAAATTACACATCAAAAAAGGTCAGGGGATATAGCTCAGTCAGAGGCCCTAAGTTCAACCCTAACACCACTACCACCAAAAAGAAGAAGAAGAAGGATTTAACTTCTGTAAATCACAATGTTATACTGACCAATGAAGAAATATAATATATTAATGTAAAATATAAAAGTACTTTTTAGATAAGCTTTTATGCTACTTACAGTTTTCTTTTTTCTTTCTTTCTTTTTTTTGAACTATTGCTGGGAAAATGTGATTTCAGGTGTGATTTAATATAACCTTTATGGTGACACTTCCAAGCCCCCAAATGAACATTCTTTTTAGAATTGCTTTCTGCCCAGCTGTAAAAGAAACTGTTTTTTGAAGTTTGAAAAGGTACTATGATCTTGTTTTCACTCCTTGACAGAAAGATTTGAGCATGTTTGGGTTATGTCTCTCTTTTACCGATAAGACTGAATTGATTGTGCTCTAAGAAAAAGTCAGAGAGCTTCATGTATTTGTTCTTTAAA